TCTGTTTCCGGAAGCCAGGGTGGAGCCTGAGGCACTGGCGCCACCACCTGGCTTTGGCCAGAACTACAATGGCTGAGGGACGGGAGTGAAGATGCTGCGGGGAGGAGAATCCAGAGCCCAACTCTGGATTGGTCCAGGGTGGTCTGGGTCCTATTCAGCCAGATGGACCCAAGACAATCATTTTCAGGGTCCTACGTGACCCCGAGAATGAGGCCTTAGGCCCATAGAATAGCAGCTTCAAACTTGAGCTGGCATCAAAATCACCTGAAAGGCTTGTTGGTTTAACTTCCACTCCCAGAGTTTCTGATTCAGTAGATATGGGGAGGGGCTTAGGAATCTGCATTTCTAACAATTTCCAGGTGAGGCTGCTGCTGGCTCTGGTCCAGGGACCATGTTTTGAGAACCACTGCTTTAGAATTTCGGCGGGTTTGGCGCAATATTACCTTTGCAGAGTATACCGTATTTATTATATGTGAGGGCAAAAAAATGAGTGTAAGTAGGAGCACAGGTGCTTGGTCAGCCCACCCTAGTCAGTAACCCCATAATATTTCTTTTTTTAAATTAATTTTTATTGAAGTATTGTTGATTTACAATGTTGTTAGTTTCTGCTGTGCAGCAAAGTGATTCAGCTATACATATACATATATCCACTCCTTTTTAGATTCTGTTCCCATATAGGTCATTACAGAGCATTGAGTGGAGTTCCCTGTGCCATACAGTAGGTCCTTATGACCTCATCATGTTTCTATTGAGAGCCCACCCAATGCCCGGCTGGCCCTGCTCTAGGGCTGGTATAAAATGGTGAAGGTGGCGGACGGGTCCCTGCCTCAGAACTCACAGCTGGGCAGGCGTGGCATGTGATCTTTCCACTTGCGAGTCTAAAAGGCAGCTCAAAATAAGGTCCAACGCAGAACCTGATTTCACACTCTACCTGCTGCTTCTCAGGTCTTCCCCATTCAGAACCTATCCCACCACCCAGCCCACTTCAAACCCTGTGAGTCATCCTGACTCCTCGCTCCATCTCTCACATCTAATCCCATAAGGCTGTGGGCTCTGCCTCCATTACATCTCAGCCCTGCCCACCGTCATCTCTCCCAGTACCAGGCTCTCCTGGGCTTTCATCGTTGCCCCCGTGGTCCACCCTCTGAGCTGCAGCCAGAGCGATCTTTTTAAGAGGAATCCTGTCACTCCTCTGCTTACCCCCTCCAATGTCTTTCTGTTGCGCTTTTTAAAAGAATCCAAAATCCTGCCATAGTTTTAAGGCCCTAAGTGGTCCTCACCTCTTACCACACCCCCCTTGCTCACTTTGCTCCAGCTACCCTGGCCTCCTTGCTTGTTCCCACCTGTTCCCTCCATCTGGAACACTCTTCCCCAGATATGCTTTTGGCTGGCTCCCCTTTGCTCTGAAATGTCTTCACTGACCCCTCTATTCAATGTTGCCTCCCACCCTCAGCTACTCTCTGTTCTCATTACCTTGTTTTATTTTGTTCATAGCATTTACTGTTCTTCGAAGTTATCTATTAATTTATCAGTTTGCTTGTTTCCTGTCTGTCTTCCCTCATCAGAATGTGAGCACCTTAGGAACAGAGACCGTCTGTACCCCTGTATCCCCAGTACCTAGAATTCTTCCTGCACATAGCGTGTGCTCAATAAATATTTGCTGAATGAATGGGATTATATAGGATTCCCTGTAGGAGTAGGTCCCCCTGACATGACATCAGGGAAGGCTTTCCAGAGGGCCTGTAGTAGTTGGCCCAGTTCAAGCAGAGGAATTAAAAAAAAAAAAGGGACGTGGGAAGGTCTTCAAGCATGAAGTGTTCTGGAAACTGTACATAGTCCAATTTGGCTGGAGCAGGAGATAGGGGAAGGGAGGTCAGAGGAGTTGGAGAAGCAGCAGGCAGGCCACGAAGGGCCTCCTTGTCCCTTGAGGGGTTTGAGCTCTATGCTGAGGGCAATGGCAGCCCCCAAAGGGTGGAACACCATGCAGTTGAGAAAGCACCACTGCGTGAAGAAGAGTTTCCAGGGAGAAAGCCTCGGGCGCGGGGGTGAGTACTGGGAGGTGCTGTAGCCCAGGTGAGTGGTGCTGATGCCCTGAGCCGCGCAAGTGGCCACATGCAGGAGACATTGAGGTGGTGTAGCCAGGATGAGGAGGTGGAGTGGGCTGAGAGAGAGGCACTTGTCATCAGGTCCCCAGCTTGTGGGAGGCCACCGGAGTGGGAACAGGTCTGGGGGAAAGACTGGGGTTCTGTTTTAGACAGATGGAATGTGGGTCCAGGTGAGAAGCAGAGACACATGTCAGTTTTGCAGAAAGAGGGAGTGGTCCATGAGGTCACCTGCTGGAGGGAGTCCTCTTGGATGAGGGGCCAGGAGGATGCCGGTCTTGACGGGAGCAGTTTGGCTGGAGCAGCCTTGGTGTGTGTCAGTCAGCGAATGAAGGTGAGGAAGTGAGACCGGGAGCAAAGCACAGGCAGGCAGCTGACTGTATTCATATATTTTTTTAAATAGTTATTTATTTATTTGGCTGCACCAGGTCTTAGCTGCGGCATGTGGGGTCTTCGTTGCAGCATGCAGGATCTTTAGTTGCGGCATGAGGGATCTTAGTTGTGGCATGTGGGATTTAGTTCCCTGACCAGGGATCAAACCACGGGCCCCTGCATTAGGAGCATGGAGTCTTAACCACTGGACCACCAGGGAAGTCCCTGTATTCACATTTTAAGTTGGGGGAGATTTAAGTCCTTTGGAATGTTGAAGGAAGGATCCAGAAGAGATGGATGTTGGTGATCCAGGAAGGGCAAGGGAATGGCTTTTGGAGTCCAAGGATGGTTCTGTTATGAGGAAGGGGTGCCTATTCCATGGTAATAGGCCGTGAGAGCAGAGGCCAGCTTGGTCGCAGGGCGTGGAAGGTTTGGAGGCTGGAAATAAGAGTTCTCAGGTGATGGGTTCTCTTTTTCCAAAGAAGGGAGGAAAATTTTCACTGGGGGAGAGGGAGTGGAGTGAGGGCTTCAGAAGACCCGGGCGTGTGAAATGCCACAGAGGAAGGGGGGCAGGAGCACAGGGAAACTGGATTGTTGGGCTCAGTGAAAGTCCAGTGGAGGGTGGAGATCAGGAGTGTGCAGCAGTCTTAACGTGCCCCAAAGCAAGATGGTTGTAGGGTTTTTTCAGGCAGGAGTGATGGGAGAACCCTGGGGCAAGGGACTCAGTGACAGGCTGGACCACTGGGTGGACTGGGGAGGGAGAGAGGTGAAGATGGGAGGGGTCAGTGCATTGGGAGGAGGAGGATGACTGAGGTGAGAGAAGAATCTGGAAGCCCCATGACTAATAGCATGGACAGAGGCTCTGGGATGATCCTGGGATGGGTGAGGTGGGGGACATTGCTTTGGTATCCCCAGGACTTCCCTGGCGGTCCAGTGGTTGAGCCTCCACGCTTCCACTTCAGGGGGCACGGGTTCAATCCCTGGTCAGGGAACTAAGATCCTGCATGTTGCTCAGCATGACAGAAAAAAAAAAAAAAGGATATCCCCTTTCTGGGGCTGGGGGTGCCTTCCAGCAGAGGTAGCCATGCAAGGGAAGGGACTCATTATTTCCCCAGGATGCTTCAGGGGGCCTCAGGCCTTCCATTGCAGGGCACTGGCTGTGAAGCAGCCCCACCTGGAAGCTGTTGGAGGCTTTGGAGCTGGGCTGGAGACCAGGACTCTGGGGTCTGATGCCTCCACATGCTGCCCCATCACCAGGCTGTTCCTTACTGGGACCCCACCCCTTTTCTTGCAGTGGAGATAGTGTGCACAGGCTTAGCCCCCCTCCCTGACCCTGGGAAGAACCTGAAGGGAGACCCAAAGGTGCCATAGGAGAGTAGGTTCCCATGGGTGAGGGGCTGAATGGAAGGACAGGCTGGCTTCTCCAGTTCTGTCTTCCAGCCCCAGGAACTCTTCCCGCCTGCCAGGCCCCATGCATAGAATTCAAGCGCATTCAGGCTCTCAAGGAATCCTTGCAAACCCTCCTAGGTGGGTGCTGTTAGCAGCCTGATTCTACCCAGGAGGCCCTGAGGCTCCAGGAAAGCGGCCCGCCTGAGGTTGGTGGTAGAGAGGAGCTAGAACCCACTACTGGTGCCTCCAGACCCCTCCCCTCCCCTCCCCTGCCCGAAGAGAGTCTGGGGACCTTCTTCCATCTCAGCAGGGGCCTTAGGACCCCGACTCTGACCAGACACAGGAGTCACCCTGCTTTGGAGGGGGCTGGGTCACCATGAGGGGCTGAGTGGTGCCCCATGTTCTACACTCAATCTAAGAGTAGGCCTTGCTCTCCTAAAGGGCCGGAGCAGTGCCGGTGCTGGCGACGGAGGCGAGGATGATGACGCGCTGGGGACGCCAGGCTCGGACCGCGGCGGGATGACGTCTGCAGGTCAGGGGGACCCCCTCCCCGCCCCCCAAGCCTGTCTTTCTGTCCGCCCACGCGTTGGCTGGCTGGTCTGAGAAGTTCCGTCTGGGCCCGCCAGAGGGCGCCCGAGGGGTGGTGGAGCGGGCTGGAGAGGGGGAACCCGGAAAGGCCGCGGCCCAGTGGGTCCCGCCCCGCGGGGTCTGCGGCTCAGGTCAGAGGGTCAGATGGATGGCCAGGGAATCCGGATTCAGGGGCGCTCAGTGGAGTCGGATTCTGGCGATTGCACGCCCAGGGATTTGTAGTCGAGCATTCTGAGATGCCCGGACGGCTCAGATGCCGTCCCCCACGACTCTCCAGCCGGGAGGGAGCTGCTCCTGGATCGCGTCCGGGGTGGGTGTCCGGGCCCTGGCCCTGCGATGCCCCTGGTCGAGGAGAGGACACTTGAGAATCCACGAATAGGGGTTGGGAGTGGGAGTCCACTCTTTGGGGGGTGCGCCCCCCACAACATCTTCCGGGCCCGCCTCGGCCGCGCCCCGGCCCCAGGCCCCGCCCCGGCCGGGCCGCACCGCACCGCCCACTACCCTCGGCTGGGCTGGGAGCCCCGGGGGCCGCCGCAGCTGCCAGAGCGCCCGCCATGCGCGCTGCCCCCGCCGCCTCGCTGCTCCAGCTGCTGCTCCTGCTGGGGCCGCGGCTCGAGGCTGCGGGCGTCGCAGAGCCGCCGCTGCCCGCCGTGGTCCTTGCCATCCTGGCCCGCAATGCCGAGCACTCTCTTCCCCACTACCTGGGCGCGCTGGAGCGGCTGGACTACCCCCGGGCCAGGCTGGCCCTCTGGTGAGAGAGACCCGGGCATCGGCATCCACCGGGCATCTATCCCCCAACCCCACCGACAGTCCAGGCTCCAGATGGCCCCATCTGCTCGCTGTCCAGACACCACCCAGACAGGCCCCTCCCTCGCAGATAGGCCCTCCGCAATCCGTGTCCCCGGACGGGACCCCTTATGCCCCTGGCCCTGCAGACTGACCTCTGAGGCCTTAGGTTTACACAGGGACACCATTCCCTAATTCTGGCCCCTATTCCTCCTCTTGGGACCTCCTCTGGGTGTAAGTTGGGCCCAGTCCCCCTTGCCCTAGCCCTCAGAGCTGAAACTGAACCCGTGGGACCTGTGGTTGGCCTGATTTGGAGCAGAGCAGACAGGAGCAGCTGGTGTCCCCTGGGGCCCGATGTGGCACAGACCAGCAGGCCTCCGGGTTCCTGGGGAGCCCGTGAGGGTGCTCTCAGCCCTGGGCTCCATGCTGCCCTCTGGGGGAGTCACACGCGTTCCCCCTTCCCCTGGGCTGGTTCCAGCCTTTGTCAGGAGAGGGGCTGGGTCCTCCGGCCAAGGGCAAAGCCCCCTTCCTGCAGTCTCTCCCCCTAGGCGTCCCCGCAGGGCACTGGAATCAGAGGCCAGTCTGTGGAAGCCAGAGCAGGGAGGAGTCCCAAGCTGAGGTTGGGGATAAACTGAGAGAAATGACCAAACTACCCTCCCTCCCCAAAACACCAAAGCTGGGCTGGGGTTGGAGCCAGTGGCCTGGGGAGGCTGCCCACAATTACCAGTTTGGGAGTTACTTAGTTCCCACCCATAGAAGACTTGACACGTAGTTAATCTTCACTTCTGGGGAATTGACTTAAAGGGGCAGTATCACCTAAAATCTGGGCTCTTGGCTAAGCCCCCTGCAGCCCCCTCTGTCATGAGAGCCCCTTCAGAGAGACTACTCATGGTGGCAATGGAGCTCGGGCCCATCAGCATTTCTCAGGGACGCTCAGGGTGTGGTTTGGTCGTTATTACAACTATCTGGTGGAGGGAAGCAGCAGCTCCTCTGTCCAGTCCTGACTCAGAGAGGGGAGGGGGCTGACCTGTGGTCACAAAGCAGGGAAGGAAGGTAACCAGAGAATGTGGCAGGTATGTTCCTCAAAGTTGAGGTACTTTTCATCCTTCAAAATGCATTCGAGTTCTGTCATCTCAGCCCCTGAGCATGCCAGGGCAGCTTAAAGTTACAGGGAGAAAGTGAAGCCCAGAGAGGGTCAGAACCTGCCTGAGGTCACACAGTGGATCACAGACCTATGATTGGGACCTGGCTTCCTGCCTTCCTCTGGAGCACACCTGCCTCCTCTGCTCCCAAGAGAGGCCAGCCCTGCAAGTGTTGGTGCTCTGGGGGTCAAGGCTGCCTCAGGGTTTGGTCCTTCGCTGGCTGTGCCCCCTCACCCTTCTTCCTCCTGTGTCCTCAGGTGTGCCACAGACCACAACGTGGACAACACCACAGAGATGCTGCAGGAGTGGCTGGCTGCTGTGGGCGATGACTATGCCGCTGTGGTCTGGAGGCCTGAGGGAGAGCCCAGGTGGTGACCTGAGGGGAACGTTCTGGGGAAGATGGACAACAGCTGCAGCCCAGAGAAGGAAAGGGACAGCCCCGAGCCACAGCCTCCAGACCAGGGCTCTGTCCACTGCCCTGCAGAGAGGGACACCACATGCACCTACCCCATGGGAACCTCATCGTTTTACCCCCTCAGGTCCTACCCAGACGAAGAGGGCCCTAAGCACTGGACCAAAGAAAGGCACCAGTTTCTGATGGAGCTGAAACAGGAAGCCCTGACCTTTGCCAGGGGCTGGGGTGCCGACTATATCCTGGTAAGAAAGCCTGGCCTACAGTTCGGCTTCCCACAGGTGGTGGCACCTGTCCTTGACAGAAATCTTGGCATGACTTAACCACCTGTAGGCTGGCTCCTTCAGCTAGCAACCTGGGTCAGAACCCAGATCAGATATTGAGCTTGGATCCCTATGCTTGAGCTCAGACTTGGTACTAAACCGGGATCCCTGAGTCAGAGTGCAGGGTATATACTGAGACTCGATCCCTGGGCTAGAGCCCAGAGTATAAACTGAGCCTAGTTCCCTGGACTAGAGCTTAGAGTAGGTCTTTGGATTTACTTCCTAAAACTTCAGATAAAGTTCTTAGATCAGCAACTCGGGTATAATCTCTGGACCCAATCCCCGAGCCAGTGCCCCAGACTAGATTCTTGGTCCAGAAATGGATCTACTGGTTTATAGGTTAGACCTCTCTGAGGGAACCCCATTGGGTCCTGGGAGACTTTCTGGGTTTCTGGAAATCTGGAGGGATCCCACTCAGTGAATCCTTGGGGGACTGCAGCCCAGACAATGCTGGGGCCTGTGACGCCCACCTCCCCACAGTTTGCAGATACGGACAACATTCTGACCAACAACCAGACGCTGCGGCTTCTGATCGAGCAGGGGCTGCCCGTGGTGGCCCCGATGCTGGACTCTCAGACCTACTACTCCAATTTCTGGTGTGGGATCACCCCCCAGGTAACGCTGGGTTCGGGGGCCTCAGGAGGCTTGAGGTCTGAGAGGAGGGACGTGGAGAGACTGAAGGCCTTAGGGTCTGTGGGCCCTGGCAGGGGAGCAGTGTGCTGGGGATGGAGGGGCACCCTCTCACAGCCCGGAGCCACCCCTTCCCCAGGGCTACTACCGCCGCACAGCCGACTACCTCCCTACCAAGAACCGCCAGCGCCGGGGCTGCTTCCGCGTCCCCATGGTCCACTCCACCTTCCTGGTATCCCTGCGGGCGGAGGGGACAGAACAGCTGGGCTTCTACCCCCCTCACCCCAACTATACCTGGCCCTTCGACGACATCATCATCTTCGCCTACGCCTGTCAGGCTGCTGGTGAGGACAGCTCTCCTTGAGCCTTTCTCCCAGGCCTCTAGGCCTTTGCACATGCTATTCCCTCTGCTTGGCATGCTCTTCCCCACTCTGCAATTAATCTTTTTAATTCCTGTGTGTCCTTCAGGTCGTAGCCTTTCTTGGGCACACTGCCCCAGTAGGTTAGATGTCCTTCTGGCCGTCCCCACCATGGCACTTTCATGTATTCCTTCATTAGGCAAATATTTATGGGACACCTACCAGGTGCCAGGCACTGGGGAGACAGTGGTGAGTAAAATCAGGCAGTCTCTGACCTCCTGGATCCTCCAGTCCAGTCAATCAAAGGATCACACAAATCAATGTCCAATCACAATGACAGGAAGAAGAGCTTTTTGATTATAGGTGTTTGGGGAGCTTAGACTAGAGTTAACCTGTCAGGGAAGGCTTCCTGGAGGATGTAAACTTTGGGGCTGAGATCTAATGTATGGGCAGACATTAACAAGGTAGACAGAGCAGGACAGAGCGTTTTAAGCAGTGGGACCAGCAGGTGCAAAGGCCCTGTGGTGGCAGAGGATGCAAGAAGGCAGGCAGCTGGAGCACAGTAAGCAAAGGGGGCATGGTGCAGGCTGAGGCAGGAAAGGTAGGCAGGGGCCAGCTTGTGTGGACCTGATGGGCAAGCATCTGGTCTTTAGCCTGTGGGTGTCAGGCAGCCATCAGAGGATCACGTGATTGGATCTGAACACTAGAAAATATCATTCTGTTGTCGGTGGTTATTTTTAAGATGAAGGTTACTAGAAAGTGTTTGGGTTTGGGGAATTCCCTGGCGGTCCAGTGGTTAGGACTCTGTGCTTTCTCTGCTGAGGACTCAGGTTTGATCCCTGGTCAGGGAACGAAGATCCCACAAGCTGTGCAGCGCAGCCAAAAAAAAAAGAAAAAAAGAAAAAAAAGTGTTTGCGTTTGGATGGGATAAACCCAGTTCTGAGGAAGAGTCGAAGTTGCGAGTGAGACAGAGATACTGCTGTTGGAATAAAGATCTTGAGAAGGCTACAGAGAACGTATCTCACGGTGTGCACTCACGGGTGGCAAAGACATGAAGGCTGTCTGGTGGGTGGAGAACTCTGCTCATGGTCAAGGTGAATTAGAAGTGATGATTTAATCAAGAAGTGTTGCACTTGGGCAAGCAGTGTGTGAGAAGTGTCCAGGGAGAATTTGAGTGTCATCTTTTCTGTGTGTGTGCATGAGGTGCTTCAAGTGCAGAGAGTGAAGGTGAAACAAATACATGGGGAAAAAAATGAGAAGAAGCAAAAGTATTTCCTTTTTTTTTTTTTTGGCCACACCGGGCGGCTTGTGGGATCTCAGTTCCTCAACCAGGGATTGAACCCAGGCTCAGAATCCTAACCACTAGACCACCAGGGAATTCCCTATTTCCTTATTTTTTCATTCTTACCTCTACTTTGAGTATCAGCCGCTCTTTATTGGTCAGCGGTTTGTAGGAATTTCGTGAACAGGGGTTCTGTCTCCATCATTCAGGCTTCCACCACCTGCACTGGGCCAGGCTCTGTGCTCAATGCTGGGCCTGGGGTTAACTTTTTAATAGGTACCATGTGCCTGCCCTGGAGGACTCACAGTCTATAGAAGACAAAGGCCAAGTAAATAATTATAATAAAGATGATAAACATTGAAGGAATAAAAAAGGCCACTCTGGTTGCCAGGTGGAGGACAGCATGGTGGGGGCAGGCGAGGGGGTGGGGTTAAGTGTAGGGATCCAGGCAAGAGGTGATGGTGCTGGATTGGCGAGGGGGGTTGGGCAGAGGTGGGAAAGATTTAGGGGGTGGAGCAACGCCCGGTGGCATCAGGTGGCTGTAGCCGGGTGTGAGTTTGCCTGCTCCTTCCTCACCTTGATCCCCCGAGGGAAGGGACTGTCTGTCTTTCTCACCACCAGCAGCCAGCTGGTGCTCTAGACTCGTCTATTGCGTGAATAAACCATTTCGGCAGGAAGATCCCTTAGATATTGTTTGAGCCAAGCCGTTTCTCCCTCCAAGCCCAGGTGGGGACGCCGGGTCCCAGACAGGACGCATGTGGTGGGTCACTGGCAGGACGGGGCCTAGGACCTCCCATCTGGGTTCTGAGAGCCCTACCCTGCACTCCAGTGCTCACTCGGCCTCTCTCCGCAGGGGTCTCGGCCCACGTGTGCAACGAGCACCGTTATGGGTACATGAACGTGCCTGTGAAATCCCACCAGGGGCTGGAGGATGAGAGAGTCAACTTCATCCACCTGATCTTGGAAGCGCTGGGTGAGGGCTGTGAGCCGGTGTGTCCCCCCTCCCCACCGCTGGGGTTGAAGCCTCTCCCCAACTCATTCCCTGACTCTGGGCAAGTCCCTTTTCCCTCTGGGCCTCAGTCTGCCCATCCGTACAATGGAGGCAGGTGGATTCTGTGATCTCCTGCTGGGTATTCTGCCAGGGGGCAGGAACGAGGGGGGCTAGGACTCCAGGGCTGCCGCTGACTAGAGCCAGTAGGAACTCATGATGGGGGGGGTGCTTTCCTCTGCAGTGGATGGGCCCCCCATGTGGGCCTCAGCTCATGTGTTCCGGCCCCCAAAGAGGCCCAGCAAGATGGGGTTTGATGAGGTAAGTCCTCCCGGCCTGCAGGATTGGGGCCAGGAGGTGGGTGGGCTCTCCCCTCCCCCTGCACTCACTCCCCTGCCTCCCCTCCTCTTCCAGGTGTTTGTCATCAGCCTGGCCCGCCGGCCCGACCGCCGAGAACGCATGCTGAGTTCGCTCTGGGAGATGGAGATCTCTGGGCATTTGGTGGATGCCGTGGACGGCCGGTGAGGCTTCCTGGGTGGGGACAGGACCCTGTGCAGCCGGTGGGGACCGGGTGGTCCATCACGGCTCCATGGGGGTGGGAAAAGCAGACAATGAGCTGAATGAGTTTGCTGTTCTAGGAGGTATTCAAACAGGGCCTGAGTAATTCTGTCTCGGGGAGTCCCAGGGCAGACAGAACAGGACAGGGTGCCCTCCCTCAGCCCTCCTGAGGGAGGGGAGTACAGTGGTTAAGGCCCAGGGTCTGGAGCTTCTGGGCGTGGTCACCAGCTGCGTGACCTCCATCTCTCAGCCCTACTGTGTAAACGGCGAGTGAGTGCCTTCCTCTTAGGGGGTTGTAAGGGTTCAGTGAAGGTTTAGCCAGGGCCTGAAATGTAGTAAGTATCCCAAAGGTTAATAATGTCTTCATTACGATTATCAGGGTTATTCTTTTCCATCCTGAACTTAGGTCCCTGATGGGCGGGACGGGGGTGGGAGCAGGCCAGTCGTGTTCCCCCGGCAACCAGGGGTCACAGGACCCCATGTGCCCACTGCTGTTTGCTGCATACGCCCCAGCCCGGTGGACGGCAGGATGTCCATCCTTTGCTTGGGCCGCTGCCAAAGAAGTATCTGCCACGTTCCCCGCATTCATCCTGGGGTGTGTCCCCCTCAGACTGCTGCCCCCTCCCCTTAGGATCCCCCCCGCCCTAGGTGGCAGTGGCTTTCCAGGTCCAGTCACTGACGGCTTCAGGCCACACAAAGCAGTAACAAGACTGAAGCCTCCTTCCAACCAGACTCCAGTGTGACTGTCCCCAACTTGCATAGGCCAGTTCCCCCTGGACAGGACCCTGGCGGGCACCCCTGACCCCCTTATACCATCTGCCTCAGGACACTCAACAGCAGTGTCATGAGGAGCCTCGGCGTGGACCTGCTTCCCGGCTACCAGGACCCCTACTCGGGCCGCACACTGACCAAGGGCGAGGTGGGCTGCTTCCTCAGCCACTACTCCATCTGGGAGGAGGTGAGGACCCCCATCCACTGCTCTGTGCCAGCACTCGTGTGACCGGGGGTTGACCGAACACACTAACAATGACCCGGCCAGCAGCTTTCAGCCTCCTAAGGGCCCAGCCCTATACCTTATTCACCCTGCGGTCTCCACTGAGCACCTGCTGTGTGCTAGGAGAGCTTCTGCTCTGAGAACACAGAGGTGAACAAGAAGAATGCAGCCGGTCCCTCCTGGGGCAAAGGGACCAGAGCAAGGCACAGAAATCAAGAAAGAACTAAGCTTGCCACGGAGGGGGGATACACAGGCCGTTCGAGAGTGCAGACTGGCCCAGCCTCCTGGCCTCCTGTGGGGTCAGGGTGGGCCTCGCCATTGAGGGGCAGGGAGAGGAGGCTTCTCAGCAGAGGAAGGCAGTGCGGGCACAGGCCCTGGGGCTGAAGGAGTTCGGTGTGTTCTGTGTGGGAAGAAGAAAGGCCTAAGGCTTGGCCAAGCAGCCTCAGCCCAGGGCTGGGGTGTGAGTGCCTGGGAGAGGTCACTGCCTGGACACGGCAGGAGAGGACCCGGGCCTGGCCCTCCAAGGGGCGCCCCCTCCAGGAGGTGGAGCACAGACTCACTCCTTGTTTTTATTTTCTACTGTAGCCAGAATATGGGCGTGTGAGCTTATATTTCTGCTTTTCTGCTACCTCTGAACAGCTTGAAGGATGATGTATGTTTCACCACTTACTGAGCTGATCTCATGCTCTTTTCACATTTCCAACAGTTACAAAAAGTATTTTTTCTCAGGGTTGTGGGGGGCTAGGGCCTTCCTCCACGCCCCACCCCCACCCCCCAGCCTAGCTTCCTCGAGGAAAGCCCAAGAGGCGGAAGTGAGGAGCCAGGCCCTGGAGTCCAGCAGATGCGGTTCAGATCCCAGTTCTGCCACTTCCTGGCTGTGTGTCCTTGGACGAGTGGGTTCATCTCCCTGTGTCTCCATCTCCTTGCTGCAGTACGGGGACATCGTACCTCCTGAGGGTCCCTGGAGATGAACACTGTGGCCCCGGTGCTCAGTGACTGCAGCAAGGGTTCTGATTGCCATTGTGATCTGCTTGGAGAGCAAGACTGCCCTCCGGACCCGTCTTCCATCGGGAGAAACCACTCAGAGACGGGTCCCCTTCCCCGAAGGTCACGTAGCACAAGGGCAGGGCTCGCAGGCCCCCTTACTTTGCCGGCCTGATTCACGGCCAGGGGTGGAGGGAAGAAGGGAGCCCCCCCCCGCCCCCCACCCCAGCCTTCAGCAGCTGAGCAACGCAGCCAGGGCTGAGCATTCGGCCTGTAACTGAGGCCAGGAGTGTCTGTCAGAGTCAGCCAGGTGGGAGGGGACAGCCCGAGTCTAAAGAGCCTCCCCCACCGTGTACCACAGGTGGTTGCCCGGGGCCTGGCCCAGGTCGTGGTGTTTGAGGACGACGTGCGTTTTGAGAGCGATTTCAAGATGCGGCTGGAGCGGCTGATGAAGGAGGTGGAGGCGGAGAAACTTCCTTGGGACCTGATGTAGGCAGCCTGTGCCCCCAGGGGCCAGGGAGAGGGGTGGGCCTCCAGGGGTCTGCCTCCTCCTGAGGGGTCCTGGGACATCTACAGTGACTCCTGGGACCCTTGGTGTCACCTGCAGCTACCTCGGCCGGAAGCAGGTGAACCCTGAGGAGGAGGCAGCCGTGGAGGGGCTGCCACACCTGGTGGTGGCCAGCTACTCGTACTGGACACTGGCGTACGTCCTGAGCCTGGCCGGCGCCCGCAAGCTGCTGGCCTCCCAGCCCCTGCACCGAATGCTGCCCGTGGATGAGTTCCTGCCCATCATGTTTGACCAGCACCCCAAGTGAGCCTCAGATGGGGGCAGGGCAGGGTCAGCCTGTCCCGAGAGCCCACCTCAGCAAGTAGTAAGTCCCCTCACTGGGCAGGTGGAGAGACTGAGGCTGGCAGGGCTGAGTCACTTCCTTCTGGTCACCAAGGAATAGCCCAGCTTAGCCTTGGAGTCAGACCAATCTATGTGTGAATTCTGTGATGCCCTGTGGTTTTCAGTCAAGCGATTTTCCTGTTCTGTGCCTCAGTTTCCCCATCCGGAAAATGGGGATAAGAGAAATCCTGCCTCAGGAGTAGATGGGGAGGACGGTCAGCTGCTCTGAGGGTGAGGTGCCTGGCTCCGGGCTGGCATGGATCTGGGTGGAGGGGCCTACCCCATCCCCCCTGAGCCAGCCTCCCGTCTCCCAGTGAGCAGTACAAGGCACACTTCTGGCCGCGGGACCTGCGGGCCTTCTCAGCCCGGCCCCTGCTCGCTGCTCCCACCCACTACGCGGGGGACGCTGAGTGGCTCAGCGACACAGAGACGTCCTCGCCCTGGGACGATGACAGCGGCCGCCTCATCAGCTGGAGTGGCTCTTATAAGACCCTGCGGGACCCCCACCTGGACATGGCCGGCAGCAGTGGGCACAGCCTCCATCCCCACCCCCAGGATGAGCTCTAGGTGGGCCTCGGTTTTCTCTCGCCTTCAATGACTGACTCTGTGTTTGGGTCTCCCTTTCCTCTTCTCAGCTGTCTTCTCTCTCTCACTCTCTGTCTCGGGCTTTCTCTCTCTCTGTCTCTGTTTGTATCTTTGACTGTGTCTGCATTTCTCTGTCCACCTCTAACTCCCTCTCTCTCGCTCTCTTTCTCTCTGCCCATCTCTATCTCTTTGTGTCTCTCACTATCTCTGTGTCTGTTTCTGTCTCTGTCTCTCACTGTCCAACTCTAGTTCTTTCTACTTCTCTCCTCTTACCTCTCTTGTCCCACCAGGTCAGGGTGGTGACTCCAGAGAAGTACCCGGGAATAGGCCATAGCTGTCCAGGGAGCAGAGCAAGAGCCGCCACCAGGAACCATAGACCCAGTAGAGACCTGGCTGCCACCTTGGGCATGGCCACTCTGCCCTCTTGACCCGCCTTCCACTGGGAGAAACCACTCAGAGATGGGTCCCCTTCCCCAAAGGTCACGTAGCACAAGGGCAGGGCTCGCAGGCCCTCTTACTTTGCCAGCCTGATTCCGGGCCTGGGGTGGAGGGAAGAAGGGAGGGCCCCCAGCCTTCAGTTTCAAGCTGGGCGGACACAGGAGCCCTGCCCCCAGCTGAAGACCCAGCTGCTGGGGCCCCTCTGCCACCTTCTACCTCCACCTCAGTTCCCTACCCAGCTTGACACATGGGTCTCACGTGCCACCCTCTTCCCTGGCCAGTGGGAAGTGCAGGGAGGTGGGAGGAGGACCCAGCACACAGTAGGCCCTCAATAAAAGCTGGCTGGTATTGCACTTTATACTTTTTAACTCATGGTTGAGCCTCTTTGCGTGTCCTGAGGGCTGGGAGGGAGGCGTTCCTGATCTGTGGATGAGCAGGTGGAGAGACAGAGAGGGGAGGGCAGCCTAGAGAAGGAGTCAGGCGATCGATCTGGCATCACCTCCTTAGTCTGCTCATTGGTAAAGTGGAGATGGGAGCAGTACCTCACGGGCCAGGTGGGTATAAAGTAGCCAGGCCTGGGGCCCAGCCCACAGTGAGTGCTTACCCACTGCGGCTGTCATGGTCATCACCGGCCTCACCTTGCTGGCCAGGGTGGGCCCAGGCCAGACCGAGGGCTGCTGAGGCCTCCTTGCCTTTGGATCTTCACTTGTGCAGTTGGAACCCCTCCCCTGGAAGTGGCTGGGGAGATCCAGGGCTCCCCTCCTGCCCTAACTAGTGTGGCAGCCAGAGGGCGCAAGGTGGCAGAACCTGGACCTTGTGGGCCAGGGCGCCCTCTGCTGGTTTGGGGCCAGCAACGGGAAGGGAGCCTGGGGCATTTGGAATCTGCCCCCTGTGCTCTGGGTTACTTGCAGCAGTTTCACCTTCTGCTCTCCTGCTTGGGAACTGCCGGCCTTCCTCCCTCCCCGCCGCTGTGAGGCCCAGCAACTGTCTCCACTGCCTGCACTCAGGCAGCCGGAGGGGATGGGGAGGCGACTCCTTGTCTTGCCCGTAGCTGCTGTGGCTCCACCAGCGCAGGACCTGCCATCTCCAGGTTTCCTCCTTCAGAGGAGCCCCTCCCCCATGCAGCCCCTTGACTTGGTCTTGTAAGCACCTGGGTCCTGGCAGAGTCAGTCAGGAACCCCCTGGGGCTGGGCTTTCCCTCCTTGTGTACCAGGGATGAGGTCCCGCTGGCCTGCCTTTGGTTCCAGAGCCTGGCATGGCTCTGAGAAGGACTTTGGGCCAGAGCTGTGGAATTGGTGCTTTGTTCATTCCAAGACCAAAAGCCATTGATTCTGGATGGCTATGACCTTGAGTAAGTCACTTCTCCCTTCCAGGCTCCAGGTGTCCCTTTCATTCATTAAAATGAACATTTATTGAGCACCCTCTATGGGCCATGTTTAGATACTAGGGATACAGCAGTGAATAAAACCGTCCCTCAAAAATCCCTGACCTCATAGAGCTGACGTTCTAGTGAGGGAGACAGACAAAAACAGAGAAACAGAAAATATTGGAGGTTGGTAAGTCCTACAGAACAAAATGAGGGAGGAAATATCAAGTATGAGCTGAGAAGTTAACACATGAACAAAGACTTCAAGGAAGTGAGGGGACAAGCTATGGGGATATGGGGAAGAAGACCATTCTAGGCCAAGGGGGCAGCATATGCAAAGGTCCTGAGGCAGGAACAGGACTGGCAGTTTCAAAAGACAGGGAAGATGCCACTGTGGCTGGAGCAGAACGAGCAAGGAGGAGCCAAGTTCTGGAGGTGAGGGAGCCAAGGTCAGGGCCAGAGCACGGAGGGCCTTGGAGGTCATTTTGGCTTTTACTCTGAGACAAGGAGCCCCTGGAGGGTTTGAGGCAGACAAATGACACAATCTAATTTTTATTTTAACATGATTACCCTGGCTGCTGTAATGAACTGTAGTTGGATCCAGGGTAAAAGTAGGGAGATGGGTTAGGAACCCATTGTAATAATCCAAGTGAGACATGATGGTGCCCCAGACCAGGGTGTTAACAGTGGGGGTGGTGAGAGGCAGCAGCAGCATTTCAGGAGGAGACACCGACACGCCACCGCTGGGAGCTGCTCCCTGCGCTGCCTAGCAACGGTCAACCCCTCTGTGTTCTTCCACATTGTCAGCGAGCCCTTGGGCTGCATCTCCTTCAGGCTGTTTGCAGACAAAGTTCCAAAGACAGCAGAAAACTTGCGTCCTCTGAGCACTGGGGAGAAAGGATTTGGTTATGAGGGTCCTCCTTTCACAGAAGTATTCCGGGATTTATGTGCCAGGGTGGTGCCATCATGGCACTGGTGGCATCCAGCTACAAGGAGAAATTTGATGACGAGAATTTCACCCTGAAACACACAGGTCCTGGCACCTTGTCCGTGGCAAATGCTGGACCCAACACAAGTGGTTCCCAGTTTCTCATCTGCACTGCCAAGACTGAGTGGCTGGATGGCAGATGTGTGGTCTTCGGCAAGGTAGAAAAGGGCATGAACGGTGTGGCAGCCGTGGACCACTCTGGTTCCAGGAATGCAAGACCAGCAAGAAGCTCACCATTGCTGTCTGTGAACAAATCTAATAAATCTGACTCGTGCTTTATCTTAAACATCAGCCCATTCCTTCCGTAGCTCAGTAGAGCATCCCTCACCCTCATCTGCTCGTGACATCCTGTGATCTTTGTGCTTTTGCTGCAGTTCTTTGGGTTTCACATTTTCCATCCCCCGCTCCAAGTCTAGCTGAATTGCAGAGTTAAGTTTATGATTATGAAATAAAAGCTAAACAACAACAGAGAGAGACCTAGACAGATTGAGGATGATGTCAAAGTTTTGGACCCAAATTACTAAAAGAATAGAACTGCCATCAACAGAATTGGAGAAAACTACAGAGCGTGGGCAGGGGACTGGCTTGGGGGCGGGTCAGGAGATCATTTTCAGATGTGCTACATTTGAGATTCAGGTGCAGGTGTCAATCAGGAGTTAGATACACGAGCCTGGGATTCAGGGGTCGAGCCTGGGATTCAGGGGTCGGGTCTGGGCTGGAGAGAGAAGCTTGGCATCCCCTGTCCTGACCCAGAAGTCCTGGCCCCAAACCATACACTCCACCACCTGTTACCTGGGGAGCTGGTTGAAATGCAGATTCCTGGCCCCTCCTAATTCTCCTGCCCAGGGTTCTGATTCAGTAGGTTGTGGGTGATGCCTGACTGTTTTTGAACAAAACTATCGCAGGTGATCCTGAGGAGCTGACAGGTTTGGGTACTGTAGCTAAATCTACATACAGTAAAATTTACTTTGATTTTTTTTTTTTTTTTTTTTT